ATATCCCACTTAGGGCTCTCAGATCAATCTAATTGGCTAAGCACCACTGAGCTGCAGGGTGGTGAGGGCATGGATCACCTCTCTATCTTTAAAATAAATGTGTGTGAGGTGTCCTTGTGGTGAGTGGCTGTGGGCAGGCCTGGCACTGCAGAGCCACGGCTGGGGGCTGGGGAAGATGCTCCACCTCAGAACAGGGCTGGGGTGTCCCACACTGCTTCTCTGTGGTGCAAAGTGTCACGCAGGGATGAGTCAAGGAAGGGAATGCTCTCCCTCTGCCGCCTCCCGTGCTGGAGTCACCTCGTCCTGAGAAGTCACCAGGGGTGGATTCCACTTTCCTGGAGTGCTCTCAGCCATGTGTCAGGGAGCAGTCTCTGCTCTCAGCTCAGCTATGGCCCTTGCCTGAAGGCCTGAGGAGGTGCTCCCTGTTGTCCACCATTTTTGGTTATTCATAGGTGGCTTTATTTATCTGGTGCTCCAAACACAGCGCAGAGCTGGTATTCGGGCTTGAGCAGCAGCCCAGAAATCCATCCACATTTCCATACACAGGGACTGAAAGGCTAATGCTGTTGCCTTTCTGCTACCCTGTTGACAAGTTATCCTCAGCAGAGCTGTCTCCAAGTCTGTATTGCAGAAATAATTAATCCTCTGTGGCAAAGACAGATATTGAATCAGAAATATGAGCCCTCTTCCAGATTATTCCAGGGTGAAGGCTTTGGTCATGTGTCTTGTGTAGCTCCTGTAGATCATTCGTAGGTTGACACAGAGTGGTTCAGCATTAACCAGCATTAATCAGTAATTATTTAGCTGATTAGTTTCAGCTAAGTAGAAATGCAGAAGAGACTGGGTCCAGCTATCAAAGGGACTCTCTGCACACTTGCCTGTGTAGTGCCAGAGTCTCACTTCTGACTTTCAAAGCAGGAGATTTTTTAAAATCTTCCCAGAGCTCACCATTGTTGTTTATGAGACTATGTAGACTCTAAAGGAAAGTTATGAAAAGCGAGTATCCTCTTTATTTTAAACGTAACCAGGTAAAACAGATGAGTCCTCATGTCATCTTTGGGGAAGGGATTGGGCCAGGTGTGTGTTTGGGAGCTGTTGGGCACATCAGGGGGATTGTGCTCAGTGGCACTGAGTGCTCACAGCCTTGGTTTTGTTTGGAGAGCACGTGCAGACTGTGCAGAGTTACTTAATAAAAACCTAAATCCCAGCACCTCGGGACCAGACACAAGAAAGTCCTGGTGGTTTGGTCACAGGTCCCCTGTAAGGTCATAACTGACCATGGCAAAACAAACAAGTTCTTTAATGTTGTTCTGTATTCCTTTAATTAATTACACACTGAGAAACACAACTCATAACCTAGGTCTCTCCTGGGTTAGTAGTTACAAAAATTGATTTGAAAGGATCATAAGCAGCTAGGATTTTTTGTTTTTCCTTTCCTTTCCTTTCCTTTCCTTTCCTTTCCTTTCCTTTCCTTTCCTTTCCTTTCCTTTCCTTTCCTTTCCTTTCCTTTCCTTTCCTTTCCTTTCCTTTTAGCAGCAAGAAAGGTTTCATGAATTGTATTTCCTTTCAGAAATTTTTGAAGAAAAAATAAAAGGGTCTGGCATTTTCCCACCCACCCATCTTGGATTTCATTCAAAAGTTCTGTGTTCAGGATAATATTTTGTCTTTGCCAAATGGGAAAATTTTGGATACCATTGTGGAATACAGGTGTCTTTTTTCTCTTCCTTTTGCTGAGGACATGCCCTATGTTTTTGTTAATGGTGTTCTTCCTGATTTGGGCTTTTCTAGTATCCTATTAACAATATACCACACAATATTTTAATTAGCAGTGCTAGTTGTAGGCAGTGTGTAAAGAGATTTTTTCTCAAAAGTTTTGCCTCTGATACATGACAAAGGAAATGTATTAAATGAGTAACAACCCCCAGCCCATGCAGTGTGCAAACTAAACCCTTAATTACTTTGCACCAGTAACTTTCCTGGTGTTATCCTACATGTCATTCCAGTGGCATTAGCGTAGGATGGAAAAGGAATGGAAATATCAGTTTTATTTGATTATATGATGTGGGGAAAACTGGTGTAGCATTGCTAGTCTGAATTTAATAGCACGGGCTCAGCTGATGGGGTGTTTCATTGCTCTTCTCTGACCTGTCCTGCAGCTGAGACACAGGAGGTCTGAGCAGACATTTCCTCTGTCTCCCTTAGAAAAAGGAAAAGCATTTGCCAAGGATATTTGCACCCAAAAAAAAAAAAAAAAAAAAAAACAAAAACCATTTGTGAAATAATCCTCTCTTTGGGAACAGCTTTGGTTTAAGCTGTTTGATTTTTGTAAGCCTTACTTTTAGTGGAGAAGGTACCCCATGGTTGCCCAAGGTACCTGAGAGCTGGACAACCTACAGGTCCTTAACAATTTCTGGAGACTGTGAGTGCACCTCACCAGCAAATTTATTGCATTTTTCTGTCCTTTCCCATGGTGGCTGGGTGCCCCTGGCACACTGCCTGCTCCAGAGGTCATGGGGTGTTCTGGAGGGATGGGTGGTCACCAGCTGAACAGGTTTGAAATAAATAAATAAGTGCCTGGAGGGGTGTATCAAATTCAGGTCGCTGTGTGTGTGACAGGGAGGAGCACGGCAGGCAGAACGGACGGGAACAGATTTTGTTTAAATTTAGCTGCAGTGTTGTGGTTGGAAAAGGCTGATGAGAACTTGGCACTTAACTCCTCACCTCATACTGCTCCCCCCAGTAGGGTTGTCAGTCTCCAAACACAGCATTGCTGGTGCAGAGCCTGGGCAAACACCCTTTAAATAACCTCTTCCCTCCTGCAGACTGTTTTGCTGAGCTGTTCTGTTTCTTAGCATCCACAATAGTGGCCAACATTTTGGCATGTGGAGGTGGGGGAGTCCCACACCACAAGCAGGTGGATCATGAACTGCTATGAACCCCCCTGTCAGGCAACCACCATCTGCAATTTTGGGTGTGTTCCATGACTCCCCTCCCACCCCGTGGTCCAGGTAGGAGACACACCAGGTAAGACAGGCCCATCTCCCATCTCCTGAAGCCAGCTGCACCACTCTGGAATGCAGAGGAGCTGATCCCAGCTTCCTGTTCTCCTCGTTCTCTCCCAGCCCTCTCACTGCACAGGGCAGGTGGGATCTGGGCTTGTTGTTGACAGCTGTTTATCTCCTCAGCTCCACTTCCATGCCAAGCCCCTCTGTTTGTCTTCTGGGATATGATGCCTCCAAGTATCCCCAGTGCAACCTTAGGTCAGGAAAAGCTGGCACGAGATTTTGGCATCTGATGGCTCCAGGTCCCTCACGACTACCCTCTCTGTGCAGGTCTGTGAACTTTCTGAACTCAGAACAAGTAAGGGGGGGGCACTGGAAACTGTGCTGCCATCAGCTTCCTGTCTGCAGGGAAATTATGGATCCCCCCAAACTGGTATTTTGCCAGAAAGTTACAGGGGAAACATGACCTTCCCCAACACTAGGAGAATGCCATGCTCATCTGCATCCCAGGTGGAAGGGAAGCAAGCCAAGAGAAAAACCTTATTCCCTATCCATCCTTCCCACTCCAAAGGAAATAGTCCTCTGAGTTTTCCTATGCTGGCACATCATAAGCACCAGTAATGTAATTTTTTCCTAGCTACATCCTGAACCTCTGACTTTCACAATGAAAATGCCAGTGCTGTGCCTGTCCCCATCTTCAAACCTGCTAAACGTGGCTGTTGTCCCCACTCATGGGATGGGGACAGGGCTATCTATTTTGTGTAGTCCTACAGAAAGCACATCAGCTCCAGTGGAAACAACAATGGATTTCACTGGAGAGGAGTGCTGCAGACAGTCATCTCATCATGGCTGTTTTCCATGCTGCTATATTTGTTTTATTTTTGGTGACAGAACTAATGACCCCTCAAATGAGTATTTAAAGCTTCCTTTCTTTTTCAGTTTAATTGGAAAAATAAAGGTCTTTTCAAAAACTTGTGTGTCCCTGTTTTGTGATCCCTGCTTTTCATCCTCTGTCCTTCCAGGCTTCACCCACCGTGCCCAGTGTTTGTTTTCTGCCTCAGGTATTCACTTGCAGAGTGTGTTAAGGACGCTGAAGAAAGAATCCTCACTTGTGTCTGTGCTGCTCAGGTCAGCAGGGCTTGCAATACAGATAGACCTTGAAATGGACCTTGGATGTGTTGCTGGTATCTTTAGACCTTCTTCCAGGAAAGGAAGGAGAACACTTGGTCTCTCCTTTCTGTGCCAAGATGAAATCAAAATGGTGCACTGAAAAATGAATAATTGCTTCTGGTCTGAAGTTTTTGGAGGCCTAGACAGATAGACCTTGAAATGGACCTTGGATGTGTTGCTGGTATCTTTAGACCTTCTTCCAGGAAAGGAAGGAGAACACTTGGTCTCTCCTTTCTGTGCCAAGATGAAATCAAAATGGTGCACTGAAAAATGAATAATTGCTCTGGTCTGAAATTTTTGGAAGCCCAATGCTGAAAATATGAAGGTTTAGGACAGTGTTTTTGTTCACACTGTAATGGTCAGGAATTGTGTCCTCACTGAGGCTGCAGGGCTGAATGCCAGTGAACTGTGCACTGTAGGAGCTGGGGGAGCTGGGGCTGTTACTGCACTCCCAGTTTTTAAGTCCTTTTCCCCTCTCTTCCTCCCTGCACAAGAGACGAGCCCATAGGGCTGAATGCCAGTGAACTGTGCACTGTAGGAGCTGGGGGAGCTGGGGCTGTTACTGCACTCCCAGTGTTTAAGTAAGTTCTTTTTCCCTCTTCCTCACTGCACAAGAGACAAGCCCAGCTGCCTGCCTGGGGAGAAGAGCTCTGTCAAAGCAGGCTCACTGACAAATGAAAGCCCCCTGTGCTGAGATTATGAGGAGCTCTGGTCGTGGGAACCTTTAGACAGGGATACATGAGCCTCCCCCTCCTGCCCTGGCAGTGACCCCGGCTCCAATCCCAGCCCTGCAGCGTGACCACAACTGGGGCAGCTCGTGACTGCTCTTGGCCACAGACTCCAGGGCCCCAAAGGTGAAATGTGAGGACAGAGCTCTAGACATGACCTCACCTGACGGACATAAGGTAGGAAAAGCTGCTGGAGCATCCTTGTACTTGTGACCTTTGAGGAGCAACATCCCAGAGAATGCCATGGCATGGTGGGGAATGGCACTGAGAGCTGCTGGCCATCAGGAAGGAGTCTAAGGAAAGGCGACCACCTTTCCAAAACAGAGCACGTTGCAGCTGCATGTGGCACTGCCTTGAAAAAGTGATGGGTTATGTGTGTGGGGAAAAAAACTATTGAAAATAATAGCATAGCTGGCTGTCTGGCAGGCTCAAACTTCAGCAGAAGCTGTGATTATACTTGTCACTATCTGTTAACCTTCAAAACAGGTGTTGTGCATTTGAGGTGCCAAATCAGTGCTCAGGCTGCAATCTGTGTGTGTGACAGGAGCATGGGCTGGAGGAATGGCCAGGCTGCAGCATGGGCCAAATGGGCACAGGGGCAGAAAGGGGATGGTCCTGGGCAGGCAGGGCATGTGACACAAATGGATTTGGCTGGCTTTGAAAGGGGAGCACATCCCAGCAGTGCTGGGACCCAGCAGGACGTGACACAGCTGATGGCAGACGTGCTGCAGTGGGGACCCTGGCAAAGGGGGTCTCTTTTGCAGGCTGATTTAACAGCTGAAGAGTTTGGGCTAGGTTCATTAAAGTTCCCAGATTGCTGAAATCTGTCATACTCAGCTGATGAACCTTAATTTCTGTCATGATTTTGAATTTTTTCTTGGTTTTAGGAATTAGGATTGTAATGCTTGGTTGCACTCTTGGTCCAGCTCAGTGTCTTGCTTTAATATGTTTATTCTCGTAACAGCCATAAAAACTGTTATCATTTTGAGTTTAATACTTTTTAAAATAAACAAATTAAAATGCAGTATTTCAGTGAAATGAAAGAAAAAAGAAAAATAAGTGTTTTCTTTCCTCTTCCATGGAGTATTTCCATTATAAACCTCATTATGACAAGTGTGTTGGGGTCTTGCAAGGCTGCATTGCTAAGTAAGTCAACAAGCATTGTAATGCTTGGCATGTGTGGAAGGTGAGTGAACATTATATGGGAAGATTAGGTAGGGCTCCATAGAATACCTAAAGAATTTGAAATACAAGACTTTGAAGAAAAATGCTGGGAATGAAGATCAGAAGATTGTAAGGTGCTAGTCACTGGCATTTGGCAGGGCTTGCAAAGCAAAAAGACTGTCAGCACACTTAAAAATCTCCTCATCTTGTCTAACTTAATGTAATTAACTTTAAGATTCAAACTCAATCAGGGATGAAAATATGCTGATACCACATGTATGAGCAAGATAACTTTGTGTCTGAGTTCCACCATGAGAGTCTTTTAAAAGCAATCCATGTCAGTGCTTTTAAAATGAGTGCTTTTAAAATTACACCTGTATCATGCCTGTCCCAAATAAGAGCAACTCAGAAACATTCTCATGTGAATGTGTGTGACACACATCAAGCAGAAATAGCTGACTGCTGACGTAACAACAAGTTTACTCTAATTGTTGATGAAACTCCAGAGCTGGTATTTTTTATTCCTGCTACTGTTTATTAAACAGATGTGGGTTTGGGTGTGAAGTCAGCAGGTGTGGAAAAATCTGTTTCTGCCATCAGAGTTGGTGCTGTGGGGCATTGTCTCAGTTTGGGGTCTTCTTTTATACTGTATTTTGGAATATTGCAAATCATAATGCGATAACAGAGTACCCATAAACAGTCTCCTGGCAGCTTATCTTGATGATCAGAGATGTGGTGCAAATGTGCCTCCTTCCCTCAGGGGTTCTCATGCACCTCCCACCCTGCTCCTGAAAGTGGGGGAGTTCACACTGAAGGTTATGATAGCTCAGGTTGTGACCTGAGCAAAACCTGCTGTCATTTCCAGGCTCCCTGCTGCAGGACGGGGGTGGCTGTGCTTTGTCTGACAGCACAGCCTTGGTGCAAGGGATTTGCAGTCCCTGCAAGCCTGGCTCCAATGCTGTTATTTCCCAGCTGGAGGTGGAATGGCACACACAGCATCTGGGAGAAGGCTGTCCTTTCCCTTCCTTCGAGAGAGTCAACGGGCACAGCTAGAATTAAGGAGGGATGAATTCTCATGGAGAGCCAAAAGCAGACTGATATCAATGCAAAGCTTTGGTTTTACTAACTCTGGAATGGTGCTTGCAAAAATCTTGGTGTAGCTGCACCTCTGAGACATCAAGATTTGAGAGGATAGAGCTGAGAAGCAGAGGACTTTATAAAAGCTGAGGAACTATGGGGTCTTTAAAAGAACATTTCATTTAAAGCAGCGAGCAATACCTTCTCCATGGCCCTAGGGAGAAATTTTATTAAACAGAAACATAGATTGAAGTATTGCCTTGGAAAAGAGAGCTCTGTTGTCCTGCTGCAAAATATTGGATCAATTTCTCTGAAAAAAATTACATGTTAAAGGGACTTGTGTGGAATTTAACCTGCTGATAAGAGTGAGTGCCTTCTACAGGAAAATAGCCCTCAGACTGTGTTGATTCTGTGAGAAATAGCTACTCACTTTTCATAGTTTAGGAAGGTTTATTAAACCTTATCAAATATACAACAGAAGACTGAATAAAGAAAAAAGGTTACGGTGCTGGGGGCAACAGATTTTCCCCACCATGTGCTCAGCCCCCTCACAATGGAGCTTTCCCCTTTTAACCCTTAACCCCTCCCAAAGTTCTGTCCATCAAGCCCTTCTTCGCTGTCCAGTGGTGGAGATCTCTTCCCCAAATCCTGACTGGAGGACAGATGTTGCCATAATGACAGCCAGCCCTCCCAGATGTCCCAGCTCCAGCTGTCCCTTGATAACCACCTGAGGGAGTACAACATAACTATAAATCTATAAAACTTTTCCTAACCTATATACATGATATGTATCCATTAATTGTGAGAGTCAATCATTGCATTATTCGTCTATCACAATTCCATTTCCACTGACCACAATGGAAATTTAGGCACTTTGCTGTGGTCACGTGTCCTAATCTTGGATCTCAATCCCACCCCTGAAGTCACAGACAGTTTTAAAGCAGGTGTGATGGTTCAGAGACTGAAAGTGAGTTTCATCTCCATATGGAGGCAGGGCTGTTGGGAAAGGCAGAAATCACAGCACGGAGCGATCGGAGCCACAGAACTCCCTGAACTCCATAACCTGCCATGGCACGCTCCATCTGGGAGAGGGGATTGTTTCAGAAAGTTCAGGACAAAAAGGGAATTTATCTCTTCACCTCCAGGAATTGATATGCCTTATTTCAGCAAAGGAATGACAGATTTAAAAGAAAAAAAAAAAAAAAAAAGGAAATTTCAGTTATTTTTGGAGACCATGCTTCATGCCTGTTTCTGATTTGGGTGGAAATTAGATGGAATTGACTGTTTCTCTGCCACTTCTTTCACAAATTCTTTATTTCTTTATATCAGAGGTTAATTACTGAAGCCTATGTAACAATAGAGAGAAGAATATTTTGTATCAGCTGTGGATTGCACTGCCTTAAGGCCTTAAACCATTCTTAAAACAGTATACTGACAAAAAATATTACTTCATCACCACAACTAAATAAAAATTTTACAGATTACAGCCTGGTAATTTTAAATTAAAAATTAGATCAAATTGTACAAGCACTAATTAGGACCTCCTTCATTCTTCTGAGATTGATAACAAAATATTTTTCAAAAAAGTAAGCCTGTATTTTGTGTCACATTTTTCTAAACCCCAAATATTTCTTACTTGGTGAATACCCAGAATATTTCCCATCTTTTCTGGAGACGAGAACAAGTGAAATCAACAGGTCTTATCTGTCTCTGTCTTTGGCAGTGATTATGACAGCAACTTTTAGAAACTCTGTTTTCCATAAATTGCAAAATATTTAGAATACCTCATTGAAATCTTTAGTAGTTAAGTCTTGTAAAAATTTTCTGTTATTGCAACCCTTAGTGAGTGCCAGGATGACAGATTTATACTTATTTGATCATTTCCTTCACCCTGTCCAAACATTGCAATAGTATTTGCTTTCTCTCAGGTTTCTGCCACTGCTGGACCTGAGTTACTAAAATCAGCATCCAGAGGAACTTGCTAACCTGCACTTTTAGTAGTCCTGGTGCCACGTATCTGGTTGTTAAAAAGTTACTTTAGTAGTGACTGTTTTCCTTCCATTTTGATTATGGCCTGGGTAGAAAATACTCATTCTTTTCTTATGATATGAACATGTCCTGGTTTATTCCTGAGGAGAGAAGGAATACATTACATTTGTTAAACACTTCTGATTACTGACTGTTCTGGTGCTCTTACTATTCATGGACTTTCAGTATTAGTAGGGTTACTCTTGGTCCCAATGGACTCAAACATCTACTCCTTACTGTCTTTTACAGTTTTTTAGGGGTTTTTTCCCCCCCCTTTTTTTTTTTTTGTCCATATAAATTTCCTTGCATCCCTTTGCTTCCTTACTAATACTGTAAATCTCCAGGATGTATTTTCAGTATTTACAACATCTGTCTTATAAACATCCATCCATTATTATTGCTTATTTTGCATCCTTTTCTATTCTAGATTTTTGGAAACATGCTTGCTTCCTCACTTACAGTTTTAGTCTTATTTTGTTGTTGTTATTTGATTATTTTTACATCTAACTAAATAATACTATTTAAACTATTATTTAAACTATTCATTGCATGCATCGCATTTAGTCTTCAGTCCTTCCTTACAACTGGCTTGTACTTGTTTCAGCTTTGTGAACCTGGTTGTGTTGAAATACCATGTGTTTTTGACTGGCTCAGACAGGGATCCAACATAATCATTTCCACCTTAGTTACCGTTAGCTTTTATTTCTTGGTTAGAAAATTGTCATCCATGATTTGTAGAAATTCCAGAGGAGTTACTGCTGCCAGCAGGAGATTTTGATATATATCATCCTGAGTCAATTTTCCCATGACAGTCCTGCACCCATGGTAGATAAATGGCTTTGGAGCAGCCCCACCTAATTTTGAGGGTGGTTTAGCATTGAGGCAGGCAGCTATTATAACCTCATTTTGTGCTTTACCCATCTGGACGTGATCAACAAGCAACCAAAATCATTTGCTCCTGAGCCATCACTGCTACAGAAGAAATTAATGCCAGCCTTGGTCTCTTTTGCACACCTGATGCTGCTCTGGAAGGTTACAGTCACTGCCTCCACCTCACTCAAAAAAGTAGATAATTTCACTGGGTCTCATTAGCAGGAATTAAAAATAACAGTTTGACAAAGAATTTTGAGAAATAATTCACAAATGAGCATTTTAAATTGTTCTTCCAAGGTCATACTTTTGCACATGAAACCTGTGTTTCCCCACCCTCTCATTAACTTTAGTCATAACACCTATAAAATGCTTTATCTTTTAATATAAGTCAATTGCTTTCACAAGGCTTCTTTCTGAACTGTGCCCTTAAAACATGGTAAGGATGGAAGCAGTGATAACTTCAGAGGCTGAGTTCTAGTTGGTGTGATGATTGTGTTCATCAGCAAAGGCAAGAAGAAACTGTAATCAGAAAACACTGGAGAAATTAAAGTGATCCAGAACAGATCCTTTTGCACTCTGCTTTTGTTTATTGGTGAGCCCAGGCTCTCACCAGCTCTTTGTCTTCAGCAGACCACACATGGAAGAATTCACAGCATTTAGTGTCAATTTTCAGCATTTGAATCTGCTGGTCCAGAAGGGGACACAGGAGAGGGGGGTGACATCTCTGGGAGCAGAAGACCCCATGGAGACACTACTGTCCTCCAGGTGGTGACTTTCAAGCCCCATGCCCAGGGGCTAAATGTTACTGAAAGACAAATATTGACTTCTGACAGAGTTTGGAGAAATTCATGTGGGTATTTCCAAGAGTTTATGAATTAACCAGAAATGGAGATAAGTCCTATGCTATCTATTTCATCAGCTAAGGAACTGTTGACTGAAGCCTAGCATGAGCCAAGTACCTACATGCACTGTGTTTCAAAGAATTAATCATATCTTCAGATGTGGAGCTTGCTAGTTAGTTTAATTACTGTCCTTTTTTTAGTTTCTTTCTTTAGCTAAATGGATCAGATGACAATTCATTTTTTTTAATAGATGAAAGAGAAGCAGTCTTCAAAACAGATAATGAATTTCTTCTAACTTGTCTGGAGACTGAAGAGCCATAATTCTGATTGATCAGATATGGTCTGCTTCAGAGAAGCACCAGATGTGGTCCAGATTTTAAATAGATGCTGCTACTGTCAAAATGCATTCGCTCCCTCCTGGTGTAACAAAGTGAAGTCCATCTGTCTGGAGTTGTGCATTTTTTTTAGTGGTAATAACAGTTAACATCAACAATAAGCTTTGTCTCATTAGTATCACATAATCCCTACTACCAAGTCCCCAGTTTCTGGTCTCCATATTATCTGCCATGGAAAAAATAAAGACCACAGCAGGAGCTAAGAAGGTCAGTGCATTCTCAGGGTAATCAGCTGTAGTAAATTCAATTCTGACAAGACAAGGCTTGCAAATGTCTGGGGAATTAAGGGATCATCTATAATTTCATATGTTGAGTGGGAAAGTGTCCTTCCAAACATTTATTAATTACAGATGAGTGTCTGTATGGTGATCATCTTTGGAGAAATTGCTGAAGCAAAGCAAGAAAAGTAGATTTAACTGTTTGCTGCTGTTTCAAAAGAAAAAATACTGATCTTCTCACTTGGCCTTGCAATGGTTTCAGTCAGTATTCTTTCTCTGCCAGTGTTTATTGCTCTGTCTTAGCAGCCTGTTGCCCCTTATGAAACCTTTTGCATAAAGGTTTCCCACTGCAATCAATGGAGGAACTTGCCTTGCCTTTAGTCTGGCTCAGTGCCCTCACTCCAGGCTTTGCACTGCTTAAGTAACAAGTAAAGAGCAACAGAATAAAGAGCTTCACATTTAGAACTGCACTTTTCCCTTAAAGATCTTGGAGCACTTTGGAAACCTTAATTACTCCCCTTTGAGGTCTGTGTTGTTCTTTCTGTTTTACAGATGAGGAAATTAAAGCACAGGGAGGTCAGAAGCTAACATTTTCCAACTTGGGCAGCTGAAGGTAAGTGCTTACATCCACACCTTCCTTCCCTGAGAGGAAGTCCTCAACACTTTCACACTCTTTTTGCATCTGTTTTTTGAAAGAGTGGCCTATATCTTAGCCAAGAGCTCTCTGAAAGGTCACCAGAATTGCTGAAAAGGCCATTAAATTGTATTAAAAATAAGAGATGTAAAGTGTGTAGCTCATTTCCCTTAGTGCAACCAAGACTGAGGAGGAGCAATATAAACAAAATGCATCAGGGACTAAATATCCAGCGAGGAAAATAACTTTTTAAGTAAAAAAATAAACTTGCCATAAGAACAGATTGATCTCAGTTAAACACAAAGCACGTGTTTAAGAATGGATTGAAAATTAGGAGATTTGTAATATTCAGAGGAGTGAGGTCTGAGGACAAATGGGGAGCTTGGAGGAGAACAATGTCACTCAGGTTGAGATGAAGTTGGACCAGAATCTAAGAGAGAAGAAGGGATGATGTACCAGCATTTCCAAGGGACTGGACTTGATGGTCCAGCATGTGGTTGTGCTTAGACTATTGCAAATCAGTTCTTAACCCACACATAAACTCCAGGACAAACCAGTCTTCCTCCTTGCAGGGGCCCCTGGATGCTTCTTCTTTAGGATTTAGGTCATTTGGGTAGGAAAATGCTATTGGAAAAAAATGAGTACCTGGTGACATCAAATACCACTGTCCCTTCAGACCTGCAGTGCCTCGTATGCCAGATTGCAGCTATTGTATGAAGAATTTCCAGTTCCTTTCTGTGCCTGGCGGCTGATTGAAAGTTCATATTATTTATGGCAGAAAACAGCAGTGTACTTTTGAGCCTGAGGAAGCTGGGAAAGTGCAGTGGGTGTCAATCAATTAAGCTATTCAACTTATTTATGAAACAGGACAAAACAATGTCTAGGATATGAATTCCCATCTCAATGGGATCCCCCCTGATATAAAATGTCAGAGCTGAAAAAGGGTCAGCTCATGACCCTTGAATATTCTTTTAAACCATTTGCAAATCAATACCTCTTCTCTGGGTTTGTGCAGGGACCATCGTTCCCTTTTATTATAAGTCACAGGGCATAGACTGCTTATCAGGGAGTATGGAGACACATCACTGCACTAAAGCAGCAGCTGGCTTTGGAGACTGGGCCTGACTCTCATTTCGGGGGGGGGCTAACTTCACTCTACTCTGGTAGAGCAAAAGATTTTAAAGTGAGCATAATTATGGGTTTTGCTGACTCTCAGGCTCCTTAATATCTGCTGTCCTTTGCCATAAGTCCTTTGCCATGCTTCCAGTTGGGCTTGTCTCCCTCTTCCAAGTGCCTATATCAGCCAGGAACATCAGGTGACATCTTACAAGTTTTTTGTGTCAGGAGTCTGCTGTGTCCCTGGGCTTTGGGGCTGCAGTCCCAAATTGTCACCCTCCCTCTCTTAGCAATAACCTGCTGTACAGGTATTGCTTGAAAGGACAGATGGCCTGATCCTCAGCTGAGCATCTGGCCTATTAAGCTCTCTAAAAAGGCATCATCTTTACAAATCCCAGCCTTAATCTCCTTGCCCACTGTGTGACCCATGGGGTTTTCAGAGCAGTGCCAAAGAGGGGAAGAGGAGGAGGAGGAGGGCAGCTGGAGGATCCTGAGCTGAGGGCTGGGGATGTGACCATTTCTCTCCAAGAGGAGCTGGAGAAGGTCAACAGCCCTGGCAGCCTCGAGCTCTCCTGCAAGGACGTGCACAAAATGAATCCTTGAAAGAGTGCTCCTGGCATTTGGATAGGTTTGTCTAAGGGACCTCCCATGGAATCTTCTCATGGCATCTTCTTTACCCATGCAAAAAACATGGCATCATCCCAGTGCCTTTCAGCAGCACTTGGGCCAGCTCAGGCCAAGACAGGTGAACTGAGGATAGAACAGCAGAGGCAATGCCCACTTGCTTGCTGAGGTCTACCAATGAGAGCTTTTTGCCAAGGGGAGATGAAGAAGAGAGCAATTTTCCAGGGAGGGGGTTGTTCATGCCAGTGATCCCATCTCCTACCAGATGCCACTTCTCATGTGTTATCAGTGTACTCAGCTCTTGTCTGGAAGGCCAGCAGTGGGATATATCCTGTGAAAAAGGGACTCTGCCTTTCACTTTGCCTGTTAAAGAACAAACCTTGAGGTAAAAATCTGATCGTGTTAATAGCACGTGACAAAGGGAAGAATTTCCTAGTTGAACTTGCATAGCACTGAGTGGCCTGAAAATGGTTAACTCTGGACTGGTTTTGAGGTAGATCAGGTCCAAATATAAAATAATTTAGAGCAGACTTGGATCTCATTCTATTAGGACTAAAGACATTAAATTTACCACTTGAGTTCACTGAGATTTTCCCCTCAAAAAATTCAGAATGAATTCCTTAAAATTGAATAGCAACAGATGCATTAAGTGCTTTATGGTAACTAAGCATAGAGATAGTCCCCTTCTGTTTTTCAAATATAAAATATATTAAAGTATTTTTGAAATAAAGCAATCTTTTTTTAATTCAACCCATTTTAATACCTGAAAAAAATGAGTAATTCTGATATTTTGAGTTTGTGCTGCTGGAAAAAATGTATGAGTAAAAGTCTCCCCTACGTCTGTAAAAGAAAATTTGGACACTACTTAATCTGCTGCTTTGCTTGCAGTAATTCTGGTGCAGACCTGTAATGATGGATGGTAGGAAATGTGAAACAAAAGTCCCCAAAGAATCTGAATCTCTCGTTGTTTGGATTTTTTTTTTAACAGGATTTTCTTTTAATTAGTGAATCTTGGAGAAATCCCTATTCACTTAGGTCTAAGACATGCAGTAAAATCCTACATCAACCCAAAAGGGCCAGAAGGAAAACGAACATCTAGACATGAGCAGGAATGTAATACAAGTTTTTTCCGTTTATTGCAGACAGCCACCCTTCAAATTTAAGGCAATCATTCTAAATCTTTGTTTCAGACTTTCATCTAGACACGTTATTTTTGGACTTTCTTAACTTTAAATGCATATAAAGTTCTCTAAAATACTATTCCAAAAGACAATTCACAGATACAGCCTAACTCTGATATGCCTAGGAAGGTGATACAAGCATATTTCCCCCAAATAATCAATCAAAATTTGTTTATGATCAAAATAAGAAACAAGCAGTTCATTAGCTATCAATTCAAAAATAAGATAAAGAAAACAAGCCCAAGAATAAGAAAGAAATATCTATGTTCTATTTATAGGCATATAAGCAATATCTTTAATGATATTCAGTGGAAAACATTCTAGATAGTTCTGTCATTAAAAGTGAAACAAAATTGGGTGAAAACATCTGAAAAACTAGAATATGAATACAGAAAAGGAAATTTCCAGTCAGCCCAAGGTTTGTTATTAATAGACACTTGCCACACAATACTTCTTAGAAATAGATTAGGAGTTGAAAGTTCACCATGATGTAGCTATAATAAAAAAAAAAAAAGAAGAAAGAAAAAGCTGATGAATCGCAGTTGTTTCCATCTAAATAAAGAGTAACTAACCAAGGAACCATCTGTCAGTGTATGATTACCAACTTTCTTTTTGTCTTTCAAAGCAGCCTGAGAAATCAAGGGCACTGGGAGTAGAGGGGAGAGCACACACACGCTGCCAGCAGCCAGCCCAGAGGGTCTGATCTGATCCTTGCCTTTTTCTCTTGGTGCACTCATTTCACACTGCTGGTTTTCATCCAGCGTGCCTCTATATTTCAAATACATGCTACACACTGACAGGGCTATTCTGCAGTAAATGTGGGTAATTTTGGTGTAGTTGAGAGCTGAAAAGTAAAACTTTTCTAAGGGAGGAAAACCTCAAAGTCCCCTCTTTCTCAGTTTGTGAAACCAACAGAATAATATTAATTCATTTTTTCCCCTGTTGTTGAACAGCAAAAAGCCTCAGTTACCCCGAGAAAGCATATCCTTAATGGTTTTCTTAAGCCTGAATGCCCTACTAGCAGTAAGAAAGACAAAGCAATAAGATCTAAGGCCTTTTAGTCTCTAAAAACTGTGTAGGTTTTCATGCTGGAAAAATGAGGGATTTATTCCTTTTTTTTTTGGTCACATGAATTCAGGGTCAATGTACATTTTCTCTTTTTGTTTCTATTCCAATGACCACCTCTTTTGGGGTGCTTTATTCCCCCAAACCCCATCTGACTCTGATCAAACTCGCTGCATCTGGCTCTTTGTTGCTTTGCAATGTCTGCAGCCACAGACCCACAGCCCGCACAAAACCCAGCGCCCACAGGCCACCCTTCCTTTGTGAAAGAACAGAGATGGACACCAAGAGATTTGCCCGTGAAAGCCTGCTTCCATCCTGCCCCAAATACAATTTTTTATGTTATATTTTTACAAATCCCCCGCCCCTGCCCATGGCTCCATGCCTTGCCCTCCCTCGACTCCTCCAGCCGTTCTCACGCCCCAAGAACCCTTTCCTCAGGCTCAGCCCCTCAGCTTCTCTCCCTGCTGCATCTCCCCTTGTCCCCAGCCCTTCATCCATGCTCCCCACCTCTGACCCAGTGGCTGGGAGCAGGTGGAAAGGCAGGTGATTATATAAATATTTATGTCAGGAAGTCTGCGTTTGGAAATGTTTCCTGGTGGAGTCGTCACACTTAGGAAAAAATATCAGAAAAATAAATCCAGTCCCAAAATACATGTACAAATGCACAAAGAGGCATATTTCCTTTGCATGGCCACCAAAACAAAGAGTCCCTCTGAATAATCAATAGTAAACCTCAGGGGCATGAAATTCAACAGACCTGAAGTTGCCAGGATCAGCTACTCAGTGAATTTCTACAATAGGAAGGCAGACAGCAATTACTATCCTACAGCTACACGAGCAAAGCAACTATTTACATGCACATCTTGTCAGTTCAATATGTTTGTTTCTGATTCTTGTCAAGTGTAAATGGGAACAGTCCTACCAAAATTTCTATTTCTCCACATAATATACTGATTTACATGTTAGTGTTGCACCAGCCAGTCCAGCATCTAG